ATAATAATAATAATAATAATAATAATAATAATAATAATAATAATAATAATAATAATAATAAGCGTGAGGTTGTTGCAGCCCCCTAGTTTTAATTCTCCATGCCTGCGTAAAATTGATCCACTGCGTCCACGTGACATTCGCAATTATCAAAGACTACGAGATGGACTGGTAGATGAGACGTGCAGGGCTTTAATCTACCTGAATGCTGCAGGAGATCTCGGAGTCGTCCAGTAACCGGATCGTACAGAGTATCTCCTGGTCCAAGGAGCGGAGGCTGGGGCTGCGAAACCGGAGCATTTTCATCCTTCTGTCGGTTCTGTTTCAGCCCCTCATGTCGGAGGTTCCACAGACAAGACCAGACGCTCGCAGAGGCTCACGCACACGAATGACTCACGCACGCGTCCGCGTATACATTGCCGTTCAGTCGGGTCTTGTCACCCCTTGAGACGCCCTTGGAGATGAATAGGTGGATGGGGTGGTGGATGGTTAGATGGATGGATAAGAGAGCGGATGGATGCAGCAGAGAAGGATGGGAGGAGAGCTTTCATCCGTCTCCAGTCTGCCCACTGATGGATCTACAGGACGGAGGATGGTTTTCCCTCTACTCCTCCTCCTCCTCTCTCTCTCTCCCTCTGGCTCAACCCCACTTCACAAGTGTCTTGTGACCCTTCTCATTGCTCCTCATTGCAATTACGTCCAAATGACACGGGAGACCTGGCGAGTGTAGATTGCCCTGCCCCATGGATACCCTTTGATTATAACTATTTACCAATTATAACAAGTGTTATTATTTCAGAGGTTGCTGATGCTGCAAAAACGGCATCTTTACCTTCCATATGTATTTAAATGTTTGCGTTAGCGATAAATAATAAAACTGATATAATATATATGTATTGTTACTTATATTTCCTCATTGTAACGACACTCAAACTGAGATTAAATAATTAATTCCATCGGTAATGACGTCAGAGTCAATTTCGTTGTAACGCAACACCGCGGTCCCTTTAATTGTTAACGTAAGCGACGTGCTTTGTGCGTCATCACGTCCCTTAGCAAAACAGCCAGAGGCCATGGTCAAATCGTTCGTTCACGGGATGTTATCGCCTCTTTCCTGCGCCGGAGTCACGTTTAGCAGGCAGGTCTCACATTTTTGTTACTGTTTGTTTCAGCTTTTCAGGAAGGCTTGATTTTTTTTTTTCGTGACGTAAAACCGAGGCTGGTTTTTCTTTAACGAACAGCAACTGTAAACGTGCTAAAGTCTGCCAGTAAAGATTGAATTGAATTTTAGTGGGAGGCTGCACTTCAGCTGGACTTCCGCGTTTAAGAACTGATCGCGTTTTATAGCTACGGAAGCTCCACCCGTTCATTATAACGGCGGCATCGGTTACAGTTTAAAGGTCCAGTTAACTGGACAGAGCAAAAAAAGAAAACAACCCAGCAGATTAGTCCTTAAGGAAACTATCATCAGCTGTAGAAAACATTTATACATGCACTCATCGGCCACTTTATGAGGTATCACGTTGGACCACCTTTTACCTTCAAAACTACCTTAATTCTTCATGGTATGAATTCAACAAAGTGCTGGAAACATTCCTCAGATGTTTTTGCTCCACACTGACATGATAGCATCAGGTGCAGATCCCAAAGATGCTCTACTGGATTCAGATCTGGCGACTGTGAACTTATTGTCATGTTTAGGAAACCAGTGTGAGATGATTTGAGCTTTGTGGCTTGGCATCCTACTGGAAGCACCCATCAGATGATAGCAACACTGTGGTTATAAAGGGTTTAAATGATGGTCAATTC